CCCCAGGGGGGGAGGTGGGGTTCCCTGAGAGCAGTGGGGTGGGGGATTCTCTGGGCTGTTGCCCAGTAGGAGGGTCCCAGGGGACCGGCCGAGGGGAGCTCTCTGGGGTGGTGGGAGGTGGTGTATAGGTGTGGGGGGTAGTAGGGAATTGTGCAGAGCTGGGGGGCCTGGGGCAGGGGACAATGTGGTGGATGGCAGGGAGGAGACTGGGTTGGGCAGAGATTGCAAGTAGGTGCAAACGGCAGGGCCTCGGCCCTTGGGGTGTGGGTGAGCTTCCCCTGGGGCCGGTGCTGGTGGCAGCGACCCTGGGGCCAGCGCTCCCTGGCTGGCCCAGAGGTGCATTAAACGGGCTAGTGAACTGGGGCCGACTCTGCAGTGGCCAGGATCCAGCCACACGGGGACTCTCCTGTAGCCAGTCCCCAGCCGGCTGGGGAGGGAATTCCCCATGGGCTAGTGCTGCCAGCCCTGGTCTAGCTAGGGGGCCGGACTTGAGCCCGTCAGTGGGTCTCCTCTGGCGTGGTGGGGACTGGGAGGTGGTTACACGCTCTGCAAGTTAGATCCTCTTCAGCTCCTGGGAGCCTCTCTTCCTCCAGGTGCAAATGCCAGGCAAGGTACTGCAGTGACTTGGTTTGGTGCAACTGTCAAAAATGGCCCAGGTCAGGAAGAGTCCGGAATGGGGGTCCTTTGCCCACCCACCTCGGGGCAAGTGGAAAGGGAGCTGCTCCCTGGACGGGAGCCAACCGCAGCTGGGAAAGGAGAATGAGCCGTCTGCCTGGGACAGGCCAGACACACGGAGCCACAGCAAGATCCCTGTCCTGTCCAAAAGCCGCCTGCCCCCGGACTTCCAGCAGCTGCACCAGGCCTGGGAGAGCCAGTTCCAGAAGGTGAATGGTGGGTGAGGGGGAAGGTTTGGACCGGCCTCGAAGCACCATTTGTTGGCTGGTCCCTGCGCACGGGAGAGAGCTGCATGGAAAAACACCTGGGGCATGACCGAGAGACAGAGCAGGGCCCTGTGCCAGGCTGGCAGCTGTGAAGCCGAGACTCCTATTTATCTCTCTTGGGGGTGGGAGCTGGTACGCTCGGCTCTCTTCCGCAACAGGGTCCTGGTGCCCGTCTGCTCCTGCTGATTTCACAGCCCCCCGCTTACCAGGGGCAGGGCAAACTCTGGTGCCCCAAGCCCCCGGGAGCGCAGTGTGACATGCGTTAACTGCCCAGCACGTTAGTGTTGATCAAAGCTTAAAACTCTTCACGGGGGTGCTTGTTAGCAGACAATCCGACTCTGGTGCATCCGATCCTGGCTGGTCCGATGTGCTAGCCAAGGCCCCCTCTCTCCGGGTCATACTGCCACGGCTGTGATCCACTGGGAGCAGAGCAGGGTGTTCCAAGCCCCCCTGCTGCTGGGATGCTGTGTTCCAAGCACAAAATAGCCCAAGTCTGTTGTGCTGCAGCTCCGGGGCTATGGACAGGCTGGAGGGGAACGCCCCTGGTGTGACGCTAGCATGGCACCAAAATCCTTGTGAAAACGAGAAAAGGGGTGTGCGGCGAAAGTAGCGGGTGAGAGCGAGGGGCAGGGGAGACCGACCCTGGGTTCTGTAGCTGGCTTTGGGACAGGGAGTGTGGTGTAGTGGTCAGGGCAGCGGCTGGGAGTCAGGCCTCCTGGGTTCCATTCCCATCTCTGTGACTGATGTGTGATGTCAGGCAAGTTGCTTCCCCGCCTAGTGCCTCAGTTTCCCCCACTAATGGGAATGCGTCTCCTGCTCCACACCAGAGAAAGGGCACACCGCGTCCACGCGGCGTAGGGACGCCTGGCAGCGAAAGGCTCCGGCAATGGGGAAAGGCTCTGGCCGCAGGGTCTGACACTCGATAGCAGTGTAGACATGAGGTGCTGCTTGGGTGCGTAGAGCCATGTAGGGGCCTACTGGGGGGGGATCAGGTGTGCATGGCACTCGACTCGCCTCGGCTGGGTCTCGCTGTCTATGCTGCCGTATTCGTGGGGTGTGCAGCGTTCATCCTCTGTGTGCCACCTTCATCTCCCCGGTGCTGCTCCTCGCTGCCTGGTGACGGTCTTTCTGTCCTGTCCAGGGGAAGGCTGCCAGTAAGAAGCCCTGTACGCAGACCTGTCCCTTTAACCTGACCTGCAAAGGGGACAAGTTCCACGTTGTGCCCTGCGCTGATATGGCTGCAGCCACGGAGCCGCCGGCGGGATCCCCCAATCCGCTGAGCAGAAGCCAGCCCAGAGGCCCCCTGGAGGAGATACAGCTGGGGGCACCAGCGCAGAAGAACGCGCCAGGCAGCAGCGTCCCCAGTGGCAAAGGTACCACGGCAGGGCCGGGCTCTTGTGCCGAAAACCACTGCTGGTGCAGTCCCAGCCTCTGCCAGCAGGGGCCCCCCCGGCTCATTTCCTGACACACCATCTCCTGCTGTGATGCTCTCACATCTCACAAGCTAAGCGGGATTGAGCCTGGACGTGGGGTGGATGGGAGACCTGGCGACAACTCTGGGAACTGCAGGGAACGGGCCTGGCGACTGGTAATTGGTGCCCCTCGCACTGAGTCAGTGCTGGCCCTGGACCCCGGCGTGGGACTGGGGTGCTCGGCTGTAGGAACTGGGCAGGGGGATGCTGGGCGCCCGGGGCTCTGTGCAGGTGGAGCACCGTCTTTCTGATGAGTGGCGAAGCCCAGGGACTGGCTACCTCTGCCAGGTGCCGCGGCACATTTCCCAAATGCCCAGGCCCAGTACCCGGGCGCTGGGACACGTGTCCTAGCCCCGCTCCAGCTCCGGTAATTGCATTCATTGTTCTGGCGATGTCGGCTGCCTTTGGGATTCCTTGGTGTCTAGTCCTGCAGCGTTGCTTTGCGCTGTGAACTGGTGGCAGCACTCTGCCCCAGAGGTGGCCGCATTTCAGTGCAGGGTGATCTTGTAAAGCATTTTGGGGTCCTTCAGGATGAAAGATGGGATGAAGGGGGGAAGCTACCTGTGGGTTAGTGGTTCCATTTCAGCCCCTTCACCACCGCGGTATCTCTTGCAGAAGTGGAGTTCGTGGCTGACCCGGTGGCTTTGGCCAGCATCCTCTCCAATGTGGGGTTGGCAAACGGCACGCTGGGTGTGGCCAGGAAACCCAGCCTGGCCCGGCGGGTCCCTCTGAGGGGGAGCAGGGGAAACTCGGTCCACGCCAGCGGGAGCGCACGGGTAAGTCCTGTGCCCCAGGGCCCCGCTGTGGAACCAGCTCCCTGCTGACGCTGGTGGCCGGCTTGCCCGCCTGGCTCGCTGGGAGCCCCGGGCTGAGCTGGGGCCCTGAGACGGGCTGTGACGGCACTCAGCAGGGTCAGCACAGGTCAGCTAATGCTGATGGGCCGTGGGGAGAGGGGGCTTTTCTTTTCAAGGGACGGTGTTATGTCCTCCTTGTAAGCACCCCTTCAGAGCAGGTGGGGCGGCCTGGTGCCAGGTCTCCTGGGTTCTACCCCAGCTCTGGGAGGAGAGTGGGGTCGTGGGGGTGGGAGTCCCGGGTTCTATTCCTAACTGGCTACGTTGCCTCAGTTTCCCCATGTGTAAGAGGGAGCCGATGGCCTCTTTTCTATGGTGGGCTGAGGTCTGAGCTCCTTTGTCTGTAAATTGCTTTGATGTCTCGGAAGTTCTGACTTGTCTGCTTTTCTCCTGACCACGGCGAGCTCGCAGCCCCCTCGCACTAGAGCTTTGCTAAGGGGTGGGTCTGGGACCCACTTTCCTAACGGGCCTCCCCGGCTGCTTCTCTCTTCCCCCCAGACTGTGAGTGGCTCCCTGTATGTGGCCTCGGGGACCCCTGCCTTGTGCCCGGATCCAGCCCGCATCTCCTGCTTCTCCCGGCTGGCGCCTCAAGGTACAGCCCCCTGGCTCCTGCAGCTGGGGGCCCGGACGGCCCTGGGTAGGGCGGATGGAGCAGTGGGTGAGCAGCCCCCCCAGGAAGCTGCCTGTGTGGGGGAGAAGGGAAGGGAGCTCGGCAGCATCTGCTGATCCTGGGCCCTTTGGTGTCGTTAATACAGCGTCGATTGCTCCCGGGCCCGCTCTCGGCTCTGCCCCCGGGGGCACTGCCCCCACTCACCGCCTGACTCCTGCCCTCTCTGCTCTGGCCCCCAGACGCAGCTCGGCGAGCCACGCGGGATCCTGCTCAGCACCGTGGCCTGCTCCTTAAATCTCAGCAGATCCAGGCCCTGTCGGAGACGCTGAGGGACCTGGGGTCCCGTGCCCAGCCCGCGGTGAGTGCTGCCTGTGCTGGTTCCAGCCCTCCTCTCTGCCTGGCTGGAGATGCCATGGGAGGGTTTGGAGGGGCTGCACTGGGTCCCAGCTCTGCAGAGGGGCGGGTGCTGGAGGAGGCTGTCTACCGCCAGTGCTTAAGGAGCCACTCAGGAGCCCACAGCTGGGAAGGGCCTCGCGGGGGTGGGAGGGTGCAGGGGACTCCTCGTATTAGCCTGGTTCCCTGCGCAGCCCATGTCACTGGGTTCCTCTGCTCCAGAACCCGCCCCAGTCATGCCTGGCCTGGGCCAGCTGCCCACTGCTCCCGCGGCCCCTCGGGGTGGGTCACCGTGGGGCTGGATGCGTTCCGTGGGCGATGGGGTGCCCGTCTCCAGGGTGGCTCCGACGCACCAGTCCCTTCAGGTGGGGGCAAGGCGCTGTGGGTACCATGTGCCTGCCCAGCCCCCCTTGAACCAGGGTTCTCTCGGCGCCAGGGGCACCCCGCTCTGCAGAGACTTGGCGCAGGGGCGAAGGAGGCGTGTCGGGGCCGCCCGCATCCCATTGCCACAGCAACGCAGCGCGAACCAGCCGGGAGCCAGGAAGCCGGCGGAACCAGGGACCAGTCCAGCAACGGCAGGCCGGGGTCCTCGAGCGATGGCAAAGCAGCGGGGGGCAAGGCTGGCACTGGGGGGCAGAGTGCAGCCCACAGGTGACGGGAGCGCGCCATTAATGGGTAGGGGGGAGGAACATACCATTAACTGCCCATCGCCGCTCTCATGGCTCCATTATCAGCTGGGGGGTGCCCAGCTCCCAAGGAGCGTCCCCAGCCGGCACTGGCCCGGAGCCAGGTTACAGGGATTAGATAGCGGGGCCCTGGTATGTGCTGACACCCGGCCAACTTGCTACACACAGACCCCTGCTGGGATCCTGAGCTGGGGAGCCTGGGGCTCGGGTGGCAAAGTGCCCCACACCTGCCCTAGCCGGCAGGGGTGGAGAATGAGCAGCCCCTGTTTTCTCTGCTTCAGCAGCGGCTCAGCCTCGAGGAGGGATCCCATGGGAGCATCACAGACAGGTAAGAGGCCATGTCCTGTTTGCCTGGAATAGAACCCAGGCGTCCTGACTCCCAGCCCCCCGATCTAATCCACCAGACCCCCCCCCCCCCCGCAGAACTGGGGATAGAACCCAGGCGTCCTGGCTCCCCAGCCCAGCCCAAGTCCCATCTTGCCTTATGAGTGATGCAGTGTCGGGCGCTTCCATGGGGTGCCGTGATTCACTGGTCATGCGCCCCGTCCCCCGCCCCATGGCTGCTGACCAGGCTTGGAGGGGTTAGACTGGGATCCGTCGGTGTCAGGATGCGGATTTCACGGGAATCCGCGGACGCGCCACCCGTTGGAAGCGTGGCCGGGCAGAGCCAGAGTCGCCGGCCGGCCCTTCCTCCGCGGGGCTGGGCGCGTGATGTCCGTGGTTTGTCTTCTAAGTGTTGCAAACGTTTTGAATCTCAACGTCTACAGACACCAAGTAATTACTCTCCACTCCGCTCTTGTCTGATCTCCCCCATTGGCTGACCCTGCAGCTCTGAACATTTAAATCCCTGGAAATAGGGGAAAACGCTTTAAAACCGTGACATTAGCCATTGGCAACGTAACCGAACTGGACTCCTACCAAGCCAGTTGCTGACCGTCTCGTCTCCTCTCCCCCTCCCTGCAGAGGAGTTCGTGCCGGACCCGGATGCCCTGGCCAGCGTCCTCTCCAACATGGGGCTGAGCCACGCTGCCCTGGGGCCCACGGGGAAGGTCAGCCTGGCTCGGAGGGTGCCGGTGAAGGGGCCGCGGGGCGTCCCGCCCTCCACTCAGGGGAGCACCACGGTGAGCTGTTCAGGGGTCTCGAAGCCTGGCCCTCGCTGGGCTCATGTCTCCGTCTGGATCCCGCTGGGGTGCTTTGTGGGATCCACACCCGGGGGGCTGGCACCGGTGGGGCAGGAGGATTCCAGCAGCTGGGCTGGCCCCTGCAGCCGTCCCTTGGCCCAGCCAGCGCCTGCAGTGCTGGGGGTTAGGCACAGGCAGGGGGGTTGGGGTCGGCTCAGCGCCCCGCCCTTGCCACATGCAGCGCAGAGGGGGCTGGCTGAGACTGCTTCTCTCCCCCCTCAGGGCAGCAGGACCTCGCTGCTGAGACCCCAGGGCAGCGTCCCCCCGACGGGCGACTTCGGCCGCACCTCCTGCTACTCCACACTGGGACTTAAAGGTACAGACCCCTCCCCCGCGCCTGTGGGGGAGCTGAGCGGGGAGGGTCTGTTTGGGCTTGGCCTCTGGGGGTTGCTGCTTATGCATGAGCCACAAGTTTGGGGGGGGGCGGGGTCTGTGCCAGGGTTCACTGCCCTCAGCCTCCCCTTCTCTCCAGGTGTTGAGGCCCCGGATGGTCTCCAAGCAGCCCAGCTGGCTGGCACGCCCAGGACCCGGGAGATCAACCGCTATTTGTCCTTTGGCTCTGCCCGGAGGGTGCCCGTCACGCAGCCCCAGTCCCTGGTTTGTACGCTCGGGCGGGGCAGGGGGTGGGAACCTCCTCGGGGAGCGGTCGGTCTGTGCAGCTCCTGTCACCCTGACCTGTCGGAGCATCGCCCTCTGCTCAGCTGCTCCCCACCCTCACCGAACATGAACCATAGATGGGACTCAGACGTCCCCTGGCGTCTGCCCAGGGCCTAGGGGTTAGAGGAGGGGGCTGGGAGCCAGGACTCCTGGGTTCTGTCCCAAGCTCTGGAAGGGGAGAGGGGAGTCTAGGGGGGCTGGGAGCCAGGACTCCTGGGTTCTCTCCTTGGCAGTGCCGCACTCAGTCTCTCTCCCCTGTCTGTCAGGCAGGGGGCTGCCAGGCTGGGCCCTGTTCAGCTCTGCCTGGGGTCCATGTCCTAGGGTGGACTCACTGCAGCGCCTGGTTCTCCAGCCGGGGGAGCCCGAGACGACCCTGGCCAGTCCGTGTGGGGTGCAGGGCGGGGGGCAGCCCCAGTCGGACCCAGCCCCGTGCGCTAGGTGCTGTCCACATGAACCCTTCTCCCCATACAGCGTGGCACCTGCTTCTCCACCCGCCGCCTGGCCGTCTTCCCCCGCACGCCCCGCACCGCGGAGGCCCTGGACAAGCACCCGGCCCAGGGAGCACTGCAGGTGGGAGGGGATGGGGAGTTGGGGGGTGGGAACAGGGATGGTCCCAGGGCGCTGTACCTGGATGGGGAGGGGCCTGGCTGTTGTGGGGGCAGTTGCCCTGCTCAGGGTCTGAGGGGTGGGGTGCCCCTTTGCTGACAGGTGGACTCTGCCAGCCCCTGCCTCCCCGGAGCTGAGGTGAGCCGGGCTCCTGCCGGCAGGGTGGTGGGAGTGGCTATGGCCCATTGCCCGCAGGCCTTCGCTGATGCCATGTTCCCATCTCTAGCCCCCAGCCAGGTGGGCCGGTGGCCTCTCCCCGGAGCCCCGAAGCTCTGACCCCGATGATTCGACCCTGCCCTGGGTGAGTGCTCTGGGCTGGGGGGGTTGGGGAGACCCAGACGGGGGGAAGGTGGAGGGTTGGCCCAATGCCAGCTGAGCCCGTCCTCCTCTGGGAGGGGAGGGAAGGGGGCTGTAGTGGGTCTGACCAATGTCATGGGGGCTGTATGACCACCCCCCCATCCTAGCTGAATTTGAGACCCCCACACATGGCAAAGAGGTGGGGGGGCGGGGGGGGTGCTGAGTGGGGGTTGGATTGGACTGTCCTGCAGCTTGTGGGAAAGATCATTCCATGCCCAGGCGGGGGCCCTGCGGGCGGGGGTGGGGGGGGGTCTGGTCCCACGCCGCTGATGGTACCTCCCCGCCAGGAGAAGATCGTGGTGCGTCTCTTTGGAGACGGGG